GTGGCCTCTGAAAAGCACTCCTGTTTCTACCGTGTGGAAAAAATACTCTCTCCACAATGAGCCAAATGTCTGAAAACCATGTCACTCCTTCCACAGATGGATGAACATCAGAAAAGGGATTTTTTAAAAAAAAGCCATTCCAACCAAAAACGCGTATTAATGATTTCACTGGTGTTTTCTCACCTTTTCTGTTTCGTGTAACTCCGATTTCTAGCCTCCTTTGGAGTGGTAGTCTGGGATTGTTACATAGAATATTAACAAATGAAAAAAAAATCTGAGTTCTAGAAACCAACATATTCCTGTAGCATAGTATAAATCCATCATTTTCAGAATCTATTCTGGGACACTTCCAGCTGTATAAATCATACTACAAACTGATATCTCCTATAACAAAGTTGAGTTTTCACAAGGCCTTATTTTCCACCAAACCTAATGCATTAGCTACTTACGTGGTGAGCAGTTCATTCATGAAGTACAGCTGGGACGTCTCTGAAAAAAGGGAGAGAAAGAGGCAGCAGGAGGTTCCTTTGGGCAGATGGTACACGGCTGTGTTAAGGACCCAGTTCCATTGGGAAGCTGTGGCCCGGGGAGAATGAGCAGCCTGCTTCCTGTTGTGGAATATTATTTGAAGATGTGTAACGTTCATTTCTGCTGTGGAATATTGCTTAATGATGCAGAGATGTGTTGCATTCTTTTATGTGGCATTTGTTTAACTCTGTGAAGCTGTGTTTAGCCTGCCTAAAACACCTGAATGGTCTAATAAAGAGCTGACCGGCCAATAGCTAGGCAGGAGAGGAAACTAGGTGGGACTGCCAGGCAGAGAGGAAAGGAGAAATCAAGGCTCAGGAGAAGAAGGAGGCATGGACAATAGAGAAGAAGAGGGTGCCAGAGGCCAGCCACTCAGCCAGTCACAGAGTAAGAAGGAAAGAGAGGTATAGAGAAGAGGGAAAGGAAAAGCCCAGGGGCAAAGGGTAGATGGGATAATTTCAGTTAGAAAAGCTGGCGAGAAACAAGCCACGCTAAGGCCAGGCATTCATAAGTGAGAATAAGTCTCCAGGTATCTATCTGGGATTTGGGTGGTGGACTCCCAAAGTGTAAAAACAAACAAACAAACTATATTTTGCATTCCAACGTGGACCTACATTTCCATGTAGAGCCCGAGAAAGCTACAAAAAGGGTGGGATACAGCTGCGTTAGGAAATTCTGCTCTGGCAAATGGGCAGCACGAGAAAACACCATCCTGAGTGAGAGAACCCAAACCCAGAAAGACAAATATACTATCTAATCACTCATAAGTAGATAATAGACATAAAGCAAAGAACAACCAGCCTACAGGCCTCAACTCCAGAAAACCTAGGTAGCAAAGAGGACCCTAAGAGAGACAAACATGGATCCGCCTAGGAAGTGGAAAAAAGACAAGATCTCCTGAGTAAATTGGGAGCATGGAGGGCAGAGGAGAGGGTGGAAGGGGAGAGGAGGAATGCATAGCACATTTCTGTCCAAACAATTAAAATGAGATGGATTTAATAAAAAAGAAAAGAAACTCTGCTCTCCAGCAGGGTACTTAAACAGACCTTTTCACACTAAGCAGAAACAAACAAACAAAAAACAAGTAAAAAAAATGTCTACCAAATTGCAGGCCACTGGCATTCCAGAGCTGGAGGACTGAATGCAGTTCCTGGGTAAACACACCTCTGACAGGGCAGCAAGCTATAGGAAATCCAGTTTTCTCAGTCCACATGTTGAAGAGATAGATTTTCTGTCATTATGTGCTTTGTACGCATTTTCATGCACAGAGAAAGAAAGTATGGAAGGAAGGGAGGGAGGGGAGAAGGGAGGGAAGAAAGGAGGGAGAATAGGAGGGAAGGAAAGAGAGCACATTTGCCAATGGACTAGATTATAAAGGACCCAGAAATAAAGCCACACAGCTAAAGCCACATGATTGTGGGCAAAGGCGCCCAAAGCAATGCTGGCTCAAAGGCCACCTCTTCAACATAGGAACTGGGAAAACTGGGCTTCCACATGGAAAATCCTGAAACTAGGGCTGAGCTCATGAGGCCCACCCCTCCCTGAGGATCCACAGGCAGTTAAAGGTTGCTGGTGAAGAGAGACATTTTCTTCAGTGCTGGAGCCACTGGGGAGGTGCCCAGGTTTCTATCAGCAATCCAAATAAAACTCACCGGGCCATGCACGCAAAAGACATGGAAGTAGAATTCCACAGGAGGAGGAAGGAAATGCGGCTCCAGCCTCCCAGCATGGATAGGACTGCCGAGGCCTCTGCTCTAGTGCACTGAACAGATTCTCAACCTCTCCAGTGTGCTGAGGACCATTGCTGGATTACACAGCCCCTACCATGTAGACACTCTCACAAATCCCCTTTGATAAAACAGATCCCTTCTCAAAGCTTGTTACCCTAGAGAACCCCAACACAATGTCCTAACAGCTGGAGAGAGAGACCTTCCCTTCCCTCTCCTCTTAGTTTTACTAGGCTAGTTGGATGGAGCCCACAGGTGGCAGATCTTCCCACTCAGCCCAAGGACTTGTATGCCTGCTGATCTCCTCCAGAAGGCCCACCCAGCCTCTATAGTCTGGATAAGGCATGAATCCTAAGAGTCCATGTGCTGGAAGCTTGCCAGGGCAGGGAGACGATGTGAGGTCTTTAAGAGGTGACTCCTAGGGGAAGGTCCTTAGGTCACACAGTCACCACCCTTGGAAGGCAGTGATTTTTTTGCCTCAATCTCCTGAGCACCCTGAGTGATCACAAAAGCAAGTGGCTATGACTCCTTCCCTCAAACTGCTATGCCTTCTTGCCAACACTATGACCCCAGCACAAATGCTTCCACCACGGTGTCACCACGATCACCATCTGCTTTCAGGCCTTTCCAAGAGGCCAAACCAATGGCACTACCTCTAAAATGCTGAGCTAAAAAGCCCTCTTTTCTTTATAAAGTTGGCCTCCCTCAAGCCTTTTATTATAGTAGCTGAAAGTAAAATAGCATACCAGCTGATTACTCCCTAATCCAGTCAAACTGACAACTAAAATTAGCCATTGCAACCAGAGAAGAAAATTATTTGCCCAGTTCAGAACCACAGAGAGCTGTACTAGTTTTAAGACTACTGTCTAATTATCTTAGCTTTTTCATGTAAGTCCTATCTCCATTGTGCCTTTTTGGACAGGTAAGGGAATTGGCTTTGGTTCCCAAAATCCACATGTGTTGGCAGAGGTTTCTGTCCCACCTGGTCCCACATCTGTTCAGTTCCAAAGAAAGCACACAGAGGTCTACATTAATTACAGACTAGTTGACCTATTATCTCAGGTTTCTTATTAACTCTTACATCTTAAATTAGCCCATAACTCTTGTCTGTGTTAGCCATGTGACTTGCTACCTTTTATCAGTGAGGCATTCTCATCTTGCTTCCCCAGTATCTGGGTGATGACTACAGCCTGAGCCTTTCCTCTTCCCAGAATTCTTTTGTTATTGTTGCTCGGGCTATACTTCCTGCCCAGCTACTTGCCAATCAGCATTTTATTAGAATACAAATAACAATCTTTACAGGGTACAAGACCATTGTCCCACAGCACACATTGGAGAGAAGTGGCTCCTAAAAGCCCTCCAACCTCATCCCCCAAAACAACTGATAGGTGGTTTAAAAAATAAAAAGCCATACCAGATCTGGGAAAGGTCAAGCCAATCTGCCTTCTGGCCTGGAGAGGAAGAGGCTCATGGGCCTCATCCATCCTGAGGAACTATTTGAAAGTGATGGCTGCAGGGAAGGGAGAGACGGTTCTGCTCAGGGATATGGACTCTGGAGTTGCCATGCTCTATGGTGGTCTTACACCAGGTCCAGATGGGTTGCAGTTAACCAGACTCTTACCTCTTTCTTCCCCTCTGCTCCCTTCCCTTCTTTCCTCCTCACACTCCACCTCTTCCTTCTCTTTTGCTCTTTTCTTTTTCTTTCTTTCTTTTTTTTTTGGTTTTTTGAGACAGGGTTTCTCTGTGGTTTTGGAGCCTGTCTTGGAACTAGCTCTTGTAGACCAGGCTGGTCTCGAACTCACAGAGATCGGCCTGCCTCTGCCTCCCAAGTGCTGGGATTAAAGGCGTGCGCCACCACCGCCCGGCTTCTTTTGCTCTTTTCAAGGGAAAGGGTTTGCTATGTTGCCCAGGCTCTCCTGACCTCTGGGACTGCAGCAATCCTCCTGCCTCAGCTTCATGAGTAGCTGGAACTACAGGTGCTGCTTCCACACCCAGCTTATAACTTAATTCTCGAACAGCTTCTTCAACAAGACTGTAAAGTCATTCTGAGCATCACCTTCTGGGCATCTGGCTACTTGCCAGTGGGCTACTGATCCTCTGCCTCCTCTTGTCAAAGCTGGGGGGTTGTGTGTGGGGGTTCTCTGGCCAGGAAGCCTAGCCTACTGTGTAGATTTCAAGCCGGCGAGAAACCCCGGGTCAAAAAAAAGTAGACAGTGTTTGCGAAGCAACACATGGAGTTGTCCTCTAGCCTCCAAACACATATGTACATATGTGCATGCAACCTACACACACACACACACACACACACACACACACACACACACACACACCATCCCCACCACCCCAGCTGCCCCCAGGAGCAACAGAAAAGAGAAGCAGCTGAACTTGGGGGTGCGTCCTTGGTTTGAATCCCCGCTCCACCACATGGCCCCTCCGAGCCTCACCTGCCTCTACCGGAGGCCGCTGATGAACTTTTCTGACCTGCAACTAGCACCAGCTCCTTCTGAAGCCTCAAGAAAGGTTCTAGTCTCGTATAGTCACATTAAAAAAAAAAAATCCTGTCTATGAACCACCACCCCCAAGTTATATCAGCTTCGGATCCCACTGGATCCCCCCAGCCCCACAGAACTGTTTGAGTAGTTAAGCAGGTTCTTTTTGTAAAGTATCTGGTGTATAGTAGATGCTCACTTAATGTTACTTTTCTCCAGGATGGCCCATAAAAAGGATGCAAAGACAGACAGGAACTCAGGTTGGCATGTTTGTTGGGTGCCCCTTTAATGTCCTGTGCTGTGGTATTCACTAGCCCAGCCTCACTCTAAAAGTGGGGTCCAGAGATGAACAGGAAGGGGCGCTACAGACCCTGGCCCTTCAGGGAGGCGTCCTTGCTGCCAATGTAGCTGTTGATCCATTCCAGGTAGCGGCTTACTTTGGTGTAGACACCATAGTTGTTGAGTTGCCCGCAGCCCTCGCCCCAGCTCACCAAGCCCACCAGGAACCAGGTGCCCCGAAAGAAGACCACCATAGGTCCCCCACTGTCACCGTCACAGGCATCTCTGTTGTCACCAATGATGCCCGCACACAGCATGTTCTCTGAGACCACATGGTTCATGGCCTGGATGCAGTCATTTCGTGGGGCCACAGGGATGCGGATGAAGGTGAGGATAGAGGTGCGGTTTCTCCTGCCATCCTTGTCCTTGTCGGTTTGGTAGCCCCAGCCTGTCACCACCGTCTCCTGGCCGGCCTGAGTGAGCTCTCGCTCTGCCAGGCCATCGTTCGGCAGGCAGATGGGCACTATGGTCTTAGACAGAGTGGCTGGCTCAGCCAGGCGGAGCAGAGCAATGTCATTGTCACTGGTGATCCGACTGTAGTTAGGGTGGATGAGGACCTCCTTGATGTCCAGGTCCAATTCCCAGTGGTCCCTGCGGCGCAGATCGTACTCACCTGCAAGGCAAAGACGCTATCAAAGTAGGGTAGGCTGGGGGAGCCTACCTGACCGTGCTGCTTCTGCCGCCCAGCTGCGTGGTGCCCTGAACTGGGTCCCTGTTCCTCAGATCCTCAGAAAAAGTGAGTTTTCCTGCCAGGGGTATGAATAGTGGGCCCTTGGGCATAAGTTCCTAAGGGGAAGGGGGCTGGTCTGCACTCAGAATTCACAGATGGAACAGTAAAATGAAGATTGAAAGAACAGAAAAGCCAGAGGCTCCTGTAGACAGAAAGGGAAGAAAGAGCAATCCTGCTGGAGAGACCAGCTCCAGGGCAGCAAGACCCAAAGACGAGCAGCAGCAAGATCCAAGGGGGAGCAGCAGCAAGCCCCAGGCAGGCACTGCTAGCGAGAATGATCTGAACCACAGAGAAGAGACAGGTCCTCCCTGCCAGCTGATGGTTCTGGGAAGTAGAGCCACGGGCCATTGTCCACACTGTAGGTGGTGAGCAGCGTATCAACTTTGTCATTCTCAGTGCACCTTGTCTTTTATTACGTGTGTGCTTACATAGGTATGTATGTGTGTGTGTCTGTATGTATGTGTGTATGTATGTGCTTGTGTTCATAGAGGGTGCGTGTGTGTGAGCGTGCATACAGAGGCCAAAAGTCAATGTTTGGTATCTTCCTCAATTGCTCTCCATCTTATATTGGAGGCAGAATCTCTCATTGACGCTGAAGCTCACAGGTCCAGCTACACTGACTGGCCAGCAGACCCACGGGCCCTCCTTCTCTGCCTTTCCGGCACTGGGATTAGTTATACTCTACCATGTCTGGATTCTACATCGGTGCTGGGAACTGAACTGAACAACTTTGACTCACTTTTCTTCCTTTTGGTCTGCTAAAAGGCCCTCCAGAAATGGTTACAGAGTAGGGCCTAGACGTGGGGACCCTCAGACTCTTGGGGGAGCAGCTAGCAAGACGGGCCAACACTGCACAGCTTCACCCTGTCAGTTTTTCTGGAGCTCACAAGGTGTCGTGGGGCTGACCATGGCTGGGTGCTGAGGCCCACGCAGAGCGGGCTCCGTAGGCGTGGGAGGGAGGAGACCTGGATGTATGATGCTCTCACAAACGTGTGGGCCTAGATCTGAAATGAGCACCAGAAATTTCCCAGCTGACTGGTGTCCCAGTGAGAGCCGGGGCTAGCACAGATGCCTCTGTCCCCCAAGCGTCCTCCGTGGAGCCTGACTAGTAAGTGCCAGGATCACGCACCCTGGGACAGCAAGCCTGCTTCACCTGCTCCGCCCAGGCCGCTGGCTGCTCGCGCCCAGCCTCCGTCTTACCGAGCCTCACAGTAAGCTTCTTGCTGTTCACCATGCAGTGGGCTGCCGTCAGCACCCAGGAGGCATGGATGAGTACGCCTCCACAGGCCAGCTTCTTCTTGGAGTCCAGAAGGATCGCCTGTAAGTGACATCGCAGGCTGCCTCACAGGACCCTCCCTCCGTAGTTCCCAGCCCTCCCCTGGGTTCCTGGTCCCACTGACACACACAGCCTTCAGGTCTTTCCCAGGTGTTTTCTGTTTGTGACACTGTCTGGTATCGGCTGTGTCAGGGACTCTTCCTGACATAGCCTATGGTGTTCCAATAGTCACCTTCCGCCATACCCACATCAAAGCACTTTCGTGCTGGGGCTTGGGACAGGCCTTACATTCTCTGGGGAGCCTTTTTGGTACTCAGGCTGCTTGGGGCACCTCTCTCAGGCCTCCCTCTGCCCCTGTCCTGATGGGCATCCTGGTCCCCATCCTACTGAGCTATTTCCAGAGTTTCTAAGCTCCCCAAATTGGTGAGCTGCTAGCCTGCTCCTCATTCCAGAGCCTGGCGAAGATGAGAAACAAGTAAATGTTTGCTCCGCATTGAAGCTGGGAAGCTCAGGGTCATCTCTCCCTTCTCATTTTCTCCTACACTAGCGCCTTCTCCAGAAACATGGTCCCTACCTTAGTTCCCACCCACAAAAGCTCTGTCTCTCCATCTCTTCCTCGACACTGGAGCTCTTCCTCCTGTTTGCTCCCACCTATGCTGTGCTGGCCAGTTCTATGTCAGCTTGACCCCAGCTAGAGTTATCTGGAAGGAGGGAACCTCAGCTGATAAGATGCCTCCGTAAGACCCAACTGGAGGGCATCTTCTTAAGTTGAGACTGATGGAGAATGGCAGAGCCCATTGTGGGCGGGGCAACACGTGGGCTGGACTCTTGCGTTCTAGAAAAAAGCAGGCTGAGCAAGCATGGAGGGAAAGCCAGTAAGCAGCACCCCTCCATGGCCTCTGCATCAATTTCTGTCCCCAGGTCCCTGCCCTGCTTGAGTCCCTGTCCTGATTTCCTCTGTTGATGAACTGTGATGTAGAAATGTAAGCCAAACAAACTCTTTGCTTCTCAAGTTTCTTTGGTCATGGTGTTTTGTCACAGCAACAGTAACTGTAACTAAGACATTTGCCTTTCCCTGCACGTGCCCATTCCAGCTCCAACCCCAGCCCCAACCCCAGCCCCAACCCCAGCCCCAGCCCCAGCCCCCTGCCCATACACTTTCCCCTCTGACCCCCCTGCCCCCTCAAGCAGCAACTCTTCTCTCACGCCAGCAGGGGTCCCAGAAGACTGTCTCTCCTCCATGCCCTCACCTGCCAAGGACTGTCTCCCTGCTTCGTCAGTGTTCCGTTGACAATCCTTGGATCTTGTTCTAGTTCATCTTCTGGGTCTGTGTTCCTGTTCTTGCGTTTCTTCTCCATCCGCCTCCCCAGCTTTCCGCACGGAAAATTCACTGAGAGTAAAAGAGGATTGGTAAAGGGTTTCCCTGGCAAGACTCCCAGAACCCTCTCGTCTGTCTGTAGGCTAAGCTGCCACCGTGGAGGATTCACAAAGTACGGCTTGGGACTCAAAATCAAATAGTGCCACCTACCGGCCAAGCACTGTTACTACCTAAGTGTGCCTGAGCTGCTGATGAAAGGTGTGTGGATTCATTACACTCCAGGGTTATGGGTGATCGATTATCCCAAGATATATAAGAAAGGCTCCTGTTTGGATGTTACCAAGCTCCTAGGGAGATGATAAATTACATGGACGGGTCTGCGGATATGACTCAGTTGGTAGGATGCTTGTCTAGCACACATACGGCCCTGGGTGAGATCCCTACTGCATGAACCAGGCATAGTAACACACATCTGTAACCACAGCATTGGGAAAGTAAGGCAGAAGGATCTGAAGTCCAAGGTCATCTTAGGCTACACAGTGAGTTTTAGGTCAGCCTGGGCTACATGTGACCTTATCTCAAAGTAGGGGGGCAGATTATGGAGAAAAGGCTTAGTATTTTTTTTTTCTCTCTAAAGGTGCATGAGTGTTTTACCTGCATGTATACGAGTACACTGCATTTAGGTACACTGCGTGTGTCTGATGCCCTCAGAGGCAGGAAGAGGTCACCAGATTCTCTGGAACTGGAACTAAGGATAAATGGGAGCTGCCTTGTGAATCACAGTCCTGTGCAAGAACAGCAAGTACTCTAAATTGCTGAGTCATCTTTCCAGCCCCAGAAGGGTGTGTGTGTGTATATATATATAGAAGCCAGAGGTCAACATTAAGTGTCTTTCTTGTTTCTACACTTTATTCTTGAGACAGCCTCTCACTGAGTGTAGAGCGTGATTGGCAGTGACCCCTAGGGATCCTACTGCCTCTGCCCCCTCCCCGCCCCCAGCACGCTGAGGCTATAGGCACGTACAACCACGTCTGGCTTTTTTAATGCAGATGCTGGGGATCCAAACTCAGGTCTTTGTGCCTGCATGGGAGCTGTCAGCCAAGCTGTCTCCAGCTCTGGGCGATTCATTTTGAAACCTCTCTTCCCATAGCAGTGGGCACACCGTGGAAATCCAGGGGCTGCTGGTCTTGGAGGTCTGCTCCTAGAAATGTTGAATGCTAGTTGGGGGATCTAAGCTGGTGAAGTGGAGAAACACCATCAGCAGGGGAAGTGAGGAATAACAGAACGGAAAGCAGACAGCAGCAATGAAATTCCAGAAACTGGCCAGTAGGTAGACATAGTAACTGGTTTGGCAAACCTAGAAGCAAAAGTCTCTCCTAGAAGCAAAGTTCCCAGAAGCTGGGATTTCACAGACAACACCTTTCTGGAGTCCTCTAAAGCCCGGGGTGGAGGCAGTACAGATAAGACTGCAGGTGGGGCATGGTGCGAGCTGACAAGGGAGTCTTGGGGAGCCCTCCTCATGGTTTGCCTCCCCTTTCTCACCTAAAGAGATCCATTCCTGCAGAAGGGGAATCAGAGGCCGTGAGAAAAGACTACAGACAGTTCTGTGGCCCAGTGGCATGGCTAGAGGGCCTCAGGCTGCAAAAATGACAGAGCCTCTGCCTGTTCCTCTGCCCATTCTGCTCCTGGGTGCTGGAAGGCAACTGAGCGCACCCACCAGCCTTGTAGGCACTCTCCTCAAACCCTGCCGCAGTGTTCAGACCTAAGGATCCGAACCAAGTGTCTGCGGATGACTCTAGCCTTCAGGAAAGCTTGCAGGAAGGCAGGCCCGTGGGGACTTCTTGAAACTTCCTGGACATGTATCATTTCAAAATACAAAGAAATGCTTCAGCATTGGGAAGCACTGACTGCTCCCCTAGAAGACCCAAGTTCAATTCCCAGCAGCCACATGGCGGTTCACAGCTGTCTATAGCTCCAGTTCCAGGGGATCAATTGAAACAGACATGCAAGTGGTACACACACACACACACACACACACACACGCACGCGCGCGCGCGCAAGCAAAATACTTATTCACATAAAATAAACAAATCTCTAAAAAATTACCCAGTTTAAATGTGTGTTTTTGTACAGTGACTAGTAAAGTTGAAAATAGTTCCCTGAAAAAAAATGCAAAGTCAGGTCTGGGGACAAAGCTCGGGTGGTAGAATGCTTGCCTGGCATGCTTAAAGCTCTGTTTCACCCCGGTACCAAATAAAATCAAGTGTGCAAGCCCATAGTCACAGAACTCTGGAGATAGTGGCAGGAGGATGAGGAAATCAGCCATACCCAGCAATACTATGAGCTCAAGGCCAGCTTGAGATACATGAACTTGGGAAAGGTCAGATATGAAAAATAGAAGAGGTGATAAGCATCAATGTTGTAAGAGATCCAGAAAGACAACAAAGAAAGCACAGGGGAGCACAGGGGAGAGGGCCAACCAAATAATCTCAAGGTGAAGGGAGCAGGTGGACAACCTTCAGGCATTCAATCTCGCCCCTCTTCCCCACACCCAGTTCCCCAGCCTCATCCACATCTCTGTAGCACACCGCCAAGTGTAGCCTCTCCTTCCTTGCCCTACCACCAGCAGATCAGGAAGATCTCGTAAGGCTCCCTCAGCACCATCCTGTTGTCTCAGCCTCCACCTTGCACAGGCAACTCCCTGAATACCAGTGGCCATACCTGGCAGGACCCCAGAAGCATTCACTATCAGACAACCTATAGCCATAGCACTCCATAGGAACCAGAGAGGGCAACAAAAATCAATGAAGAGAACACCATCAGCACCTAACATTACAATCATCCCAAACCTGGATGCTTAGCCACCAGTGTCAAAATACAACCAACAACAGCCAGGGCAATATGTCTCCATAGAAGCCCAGCAACCCTACTACAGCAGGCCTGGAACATAGTTGAAGCACCAGACAAGGACTTCAAAATGGCCTTTATGAATATACTGCAGGTCCTTAAAAAGGAAATTAACAAATCCATTAAGAAATCCATGAAAACCAAAACAGTGTAATGAGGGGAAGAAAACAGTTTAAGACTTACAAGTGCAAATATAATCAATAAAGAAAATTCAAACAGAGGGAAAACTGGAAATGAAAAGTTTAGGAACTTGAGCAGGGAACTCAGAGGCAAGCCTCACCAACAAAATACAAGAAATGGAAGAGAAAATCTTAGGCATTGAAGATAAGATAGAATAAATGGACACCTCAGTCAAAGAAAACATTAAATATTAAAAAATTCAGGTACAAAACATCCAGGAAACCTGGGACACTAAGAAAAGACCAAGTCTAAGAATAATAGGAAGGAGAAGAAATCCAGACAAAAGATATAGAAAATATTTTCAAAAAAATTATAGAAGAAAATTTCCCCAACCTAAAAAAGGAGATAACTATCAAGGTACAAGAAGCATACAGAACACCAAACAAACTGGACCAGAAAAATGGATTCCCCTCCTCACCTAAGAACAGTAAACATATGCTGTGGAATAATCTCTTGTATACTGTGAAGATTTGCCATTCGAATTGGTTTAATAAAATGCTGATTGTCCAGTAGACAAGCAAGAAATATAGGTGGGGCAACCAGACTAAGAATGATGGGAAGGAGAAGGTTGGATTGAGGAGTCACCAGCCAGATGCAGAGGGAGCAGGAGATGAATGTGCCATGCTAATAAAGGTACCGCCACATGGCAGAGTACAAATAAAACATATGGACTAACTTAAAATGTAAGAGTTAGCTAGCAACAAGCCTGAGCTATCAGCCAATCATTTATAAGTAATATTAAGCCTCTGAGTCAATTATTTGGGAAGGAGTCGCTGGGTATTTGGGAACAGGCAGGCAGTTGGGAGAGAAACTTCCAAATACATATTGTGCCCAATGTGGGGCACAAATCCACAACTCTAGGATTAAGATGTGGACCCAGGAACTTCTCAGAGTGGGGCGATAATCGTGACTTCTGTTGGTACCTCTGCCATGAAGCTAAGTTCTTAGAACCAATGAATGTGGTAGAGCCAATCACCAAAGCACTGCTTTGGTCCTAGCCATGCTGCTTAGCAGTTTAAATAGTCATATGGTTAGAAAAAGAGATATGCAGTAAAGATAGATTCAGGCAAAACCCCTCTAAACAGGTTACAGTGTGTTTAAATATATATATATATATATATATATATATATATATATATATATATGCTTGAAAGAGAGCAGAAAGAGGATAGAGGAAGTCCTTAAAAAGGAAATCAAGTAAACAAATATAATAAGCCCTGTAAAGATGAGAAATACACAGAGAGTCTGGATACTGTATGTATTGTATTATCTTTACATTTTTTGACTGCTAATGAACAAATGATAACTTCCGAGAGACATTTGATTATGAAAGCTGCTAGAGTAAACCAACCTACATATTTTTAAGAATATCTTGACTTCAAAATTTAAGTTAAAAGATATGTTACTTTAGAAAATGTAATTTTAGGAATTGAGAGGCTGTGTATTCATTCTGGGTAAAGAAAAATCAGGTTTGATTGAGGAAGAGCCCCTGAAAAATCTCTGATGAAAACGGATGACCCAGATGATCCAATGTTTCTGGAGAGTGTCTCTGTTGCAGTTTCCTCTGAGTTCTATATCCAGAACAGCTTCAAGGCTGCTGGTTGAGATGATCCAGACCCACAGAATACTCCAGTCAGGACAGGACCATAATCCTAAATCTTCCCAAGGTTCTTCAAAGATTCCCAGTGCCCCCAATCAGCAGGAAATAGTCTAGAAAACTATGCCCACATTCTCAAAAATAAATCATGAATGTTTATCATCATTTAGGGGGTTGGTTACAAGTTGTTATGAACAATGGTCAAAAAAAACTAAACCAAAGAGATTAGATTCAAGGATCTTGTTCTGAAAAGAAAGAGGGAGAATGTAGAAATGATAGAATGAAAGAGTAGATTACTGTATCTACTTTAATCCAAAATATAACTGTTAATCTTACATATTTTACATTGGTATGGATTTTGGCTTATTGATACAAATAAAGTTAATTTTGTTATACTTTATGTATATTTCTACTATTGTTTAGGATATTATGTTTATGCAGTGAGAGTCAGAGATAGGCAGATCTCTGTGAGTTCGTGACCAGCCTGGTCTACAGCATGAGTTCCAGGATAGGCTCCAAAGCTACAGAGAAACCCTGTCTCAAAAAAAACAAAAAGAGTAATATGTAATTAAGAAATACAGATTAATGGTCATCTGTAATAGCAAACTTATAGTCATGTTAGGTATGTTTTCAAGGTTATACAGAGATATATTTCAGATAGATAAGCAATATTCAAACACTTCAAAGTCATTTAAAATGTTTTAAGAACTCAGACTTTTCTCAACGGTGAGAACAGTGCTACTCCTGGCAGCAACAATTACTTCAAAGAGGATGATGGACACCAAAGAAACTCTGTATGGAGTTTGTCTTCTTTTTTGCAAAAGCTAGCAATATGGGCAAAGAAACTACCCTTGCCTCAATTGCTGATAGTTACTGTCCAAACTGGACCAGCAGGATGCAAAAAGGGTGACTGATAAACTTTGCCAAGACAAGGTAGGATAGTCCTTCAAAATTACCTGCTTCACAGGAAAGTCTGTCAAATATGTTAAGTCTGTAAGGCAGTCCCCAACATTACAGAGGAACTTTGGGTGACTGTTCAGGCAGTTTGAGTTCCTTGTCATTAGGTAACATTTCACCTTCTGGGGTATTTGATGGGGTAGAAGACTAAATAGTTACAGTTTTCTTTAGTTATGATAAAAGAAAAATTAGGTACAAAACTTTGGACTCACGAAGATAAGATAGATAATAGAGTATTTTTTATCTAATTTTATGAAATACAAATAGCCTGGATATTGTAACTGTAATTCTAACTTGATAACTGTTTTTGTTGTTTACAATCTTACTATGTTAAAGTTAAAACCATCCTTTTTAATTAGACAAAAAGGAAGAAATGCTGTAAAATAATCCTCTTGTATACTGTAAAGATTAGTCACTCCAGCACTTGGGAGGCAGAGGCAGGTGGATCTCTGTGAGTTTGAGGCCAGCCTGGTCTACAAGAGCTAGTTCCAGGACAGGCTCCAAAGCTACAGAGAAACCTTGTCTCAAAAAAAAAAAAAACAAAACAAAAAAAGATTAGTCACTCAAATGGGTTTAATTAAACACTGATTGACCAGTAGCCAGACAGGAAGTATAGGTGGGGCAACCAAAGTAAAGATATGATGGGAAAAAGGGCAGAGTGAGGAGCTGCCGGCCACAGCCAGATGCAGAGGGAGGAGGAGATGAATGTATCATGCTAATAAAAATACTGCCACGTGTCAGAGTGTAAATAAAGAATATAGGTTAATGTAAAACGTAAGAATCAGCTAGTAATAAACCTGAGCTATCGGCCAAGCATTTATAAGTAATATTAAGCCTCTGAGTAAATTATTTGTGAAGCAGATGGGCAGGAGAGAAACTTCCAATCACAAACACAAAGAACAAAAAAAAATTAAAAGTTGGAATTGAAAAAGGGAAAAGACAAAATAACAAACAAAGGCAAATCTATTAGAATAACACCTGGCTTTTCCATGGAGACTCTAAAAGCAAGAGGGTCGTAAACAGATGTTCTACAAACTCTAAGAGATCACAGATGCCAGCCCAGAGTACCCAGCAAAACTTTCAATCACAGTAGGTGGAAAGAGAAAGACAAATGGTGTTGGTCAGATTGGATGGTTGCAAGTAGAAGAAGGAGAATAGATCTATCTTTAGCACTCTGCACAAAATTCTACTACAAAGGGATCAAAGACCTTAACACAAGGACAGATACACTACACCTGATAGAAGAGAAAGTAGATAATAGCCTTGAACTCATTTATACAGGCAAAGACTTTCTGAGCAGAACAGTGATATTACAGGCACTATGATCAATATTAATAACTGGGACCTCATGAAACTGAAAAGCTTGAGTAAGGCAAAGGGCACCATTATTTGGACAAAGTGGCAGGCTACCGAATGGAAAAAGATCTTTACCAATTATTCATCTGAGAGAGGGCTGATATTTAAAATGTATAAAGAACTCAAAAAACTGGACATCAAGAAAACAAATAACCCAACTAAAAATTTTTGTATGGCTCTAAACAAGTCTCAAAAAAAGAAACTCCAATGTGTGTGAAGCACTTAAAGATATTTTCAGCATCCTTAGAGGGAAAATGCAAATTAAAACTACTTTGAAATTTCATCTTACAGTAAGCATTTCATGTTACAAAATCAATAAAAACAATGACAGCTCATACTGTCAAAGAGCACGGGGAACACGTGTCTGTTGCTGGTGGGAGTACAAAGTTGTCCAGCTACTATGGAAATCAGTGTGGCAGTTACTCAGGAAGATGGGAATCAATCTATCTCAAGATCCAGCTAAAGCCGGGCGCTGGTGGCGCATGCCTTTAATCCCAGCACTTGGGAGGCAGAGGCAGGCGGATCTTTGTGAGTTCGAGACCAGTCTGGTCTACAAGAGCTAGTTCCAGGACAGGCTCCAAAACCACAGAGAAACCCTGTCTCGAAAAACCAAAAAAAAAAAAAAAAAAAAAAAAAAAAGATCCAGCTATATCCCTCTTGGGTATATACCCAGGATGCTTCGTCCTACTACAGAGACACTTGCTCAACCATATTTATAATAGCCAGAAACTGGAAACAACATAGGTGTTTGTCAGTGGGTGAATGGATAAAGATAATGTGGTATGTTTACAGATTGAAATATTACTCGTCTCTAAAATAAATAAATGAATAAAATAATGAAATTCTCAAGTAAATAAATGAAATTGGAAAAAAAATCATCCTGAGTGAGGTAACTCAGGTGGTCTATCTTCTCTTGTGTGTGGATATCAGTTGCTAAGTCATCGACAAGCAAGCTACAGTCCATATAACCACAGAGGTTAGGTAGAGAGTGAGGGACTGTGGAGGACAGATGGCTCTCCCGAGGAAGGGGAAATAGACAGTTATAGATAGGGAAGGAACTGGAATGGGAGGATCAAATTGGGGGGGGGCGAGTTGGGGTGGAGTGGGGAATATGAGGAGGGATGGATAGAACTATGGGCCATTTGAGGGGTTATGTGGAAGCCTAGCACAGGAGAAGCTTCTTATAGCATATACATATATGAAGGCACTCTAAATGAAATTGCCAAATAATAAGGGAGACAGAGGTACAACAGGACATTTCTTGTCACCAAAGGAAGCTTCCAGCACCAGGAATGGACTGCATCTAATTGAGTTCTTTGCCAAAGGTGTCCCACGGGAACCTCCAAACAACCTAGCCTTTTGCCAAGGCTACTGGTGGCGCTCCACAGACTGAAGGTAAAGTAATGTCCTGTCATGGACTAGTATTCATGGCACTGGAAGGCACGCTACATGCTACCCAAGGGGAAAGGCAAACACCAACCTATAAACCCTTCCATCTACAAGAGTGCCCTGCAAGACACGCTCGTGCAATCGTGGCACAAAGCTTGTGGGAGTGGCCAACCAACCAATGTCTGAGTTAAGGCCCATTCCGTGAGACAGAACCCTCACCCAATGCTTCTTGGTGGTCAAAAACCTGAGACTAGATAGGTCAGGGACTTGGGGACTTGGGGGAAAACCAAATATTATTGTTTTACTAAAGGAATGTAGCAATAAAATGGCTCTTAAGGACATTCTGTTGTTCTCATAGAGCGGTGCCTTGCTCAGCCATCATCAGAGATAGCGTCCTCCTGCAGGAAATGAGACAGAGTCCAACAGGCCGACAACACACAGAGAACCAGAGGCCTTGGAATACTCAGCCCTAAAAGAGACGTCCCCATCAAATTCTTCCCCTCAGGGTTCAGGGTACTGTGAAAGAGGAGGCAGAAAGAGTGTAAGAGCCAGAGGGGATGGAGGACACCAAGGAATCAAGGCCTTCTAGACACAGCGTATGAACTCACAAAGACTGTGGCAGCATGCACAGGGCCAGCGTGGGTCTGCACCAGCTGAGTGGAGAAGTGGACACATACCCCATCCCTACACCAGCAGCTATCTCCAACTGATAGCCATTTGCAAATGAAAAGTAAGTGTTCTCCAAGGGAACCTTCCTGGGGAAACAAACCGCTCTTAAGGTCTTAAGGGTTGGCTCCATGCCCAGCAGTAAATGGCCAACACAGAATCAAGTCAGCTGGAGGTTCTTTTGCAATGAGAAGCCAGGGCTTTTTCTGTAACCTTACAGATCCTCAGCGATACATACTATGGCTTCCTGTTTTGGGTCTTTATGGGATTCCCGAGTGTGCAGTGTGTGTGTGTGTGTGTGTGTGTGTGTGTGTGAGAGAGAGAGAGAGAGAGAGAGAGAGACAGAGAGACAGAGACAGAGACAGAGAGACAGAGACAGACAGACAGAGACAGACAGACAGACAGACAGACAGACGGAAACAGAAGACTGCTGTGCTCCAGGGTATGTCCAGGGATGCCTGAAGATTGGCAAATAAAGAGACTACATACAGGGTCCAGGAAGTGAGGAGCGGGGTATGTCCACCTGTCTTGGGTCCTCAAGATGTGTTAGCTTTCGGGGATGCCCTTCCTCCCTGCCTGCCTTAGGCCAGATGCTCTTTGCAGGCCTGCCTGGGCTCACCGGTAGACTTGCAGCGCTTGTGGTCGTCTGCCAGCTGGTAGCCTGGAGCGCAAGCGCAGCGCCGACTGCCGCCTTCCTCCAGACAGTAGTGCACGCAGCCGCCATTGTTCACCTGGCAGTCGTGGTATTGCCGCTCTGTGCGACAGAGGAGTGCAGACAGCTCGTGGTGGCCCTACTAGTTCCAGATCCCACCTCAGACCACCTCACTGCCTCGCAGAGGTCCCCTCACCCTCCTGGCAGAACCTGCCCTCCCAGCCTTTATCGCAGAAGCAGCTGAAGCTGCCCAGGCTGTCGATGCATGTGCCATGCCCGCAGCATGGGTTGTTGCACTTGTGGTCCAAGGGCGGAGCCTCGCACTGGTCACCATCTGTGAAAGACAGAGGGACGGGGCAGTAGAGGATGTGGGTACCTCCATTTTCCTTTCCAACCTCCACCGAACCTGGAGCAAGCTTTGATTATCCATCCATCCAGGCAGCTGGGACTCACTCACCGAAGTACTTGATCCAGAAGGCCAGCTGTGGCGGGAAGAGAGGGTAGAGTGTCAGGGCCCAGCACCGCTACTAGGGGACACCCTTGAGGCACTGCCTCCTCCTGGATACCAGCTGTCCAGTGAGTGGAAAGGGCTTTCAGACAAACAGCTGCCTTAGTGCTCCTGGCTGCCCACCCCACGACATCCCTTTCCACGCAGCAGGGCTCTCCCCACCGGGTCATCTACTCCCACAGCAGCGTCCTCAGTGGAAAGAATCTAAAGCCCTCACAGATTGTTCTGCCCCCTTTGGACCATCCAGGTGTGAGACATGACTTGCTGGCTCAGAGTCTGTGTTCTAACTAGCCCTCAACTGACTGAGGCTCAGAGTGCCCCGTGGGGACAGACATTAGAAAGTCCTGGTCAAGCCCGGCGGTGGTGGCGCACACCTTTAATCCCAGCACTCAGGAGGCAGAGACAGGAGAATCTCTGTGAGTTCGAGGCCAGCCTGGTCTACAGAGCGAGTTCCAGGACAGGCTCCAAAAGCCTTGTCTCGAAAAACAAAACAACAAAACAAAACAAACAAAAAGTCCTGGTCACACACCTAACCATAAGGTAAGGGGCAGCGTGGAGGTGAAGACCACCTGGTCACATGAAGGGACCGCTGGAGAGATGCCCAGACCTTCTTTACCCTGACATTAATTTCAGGGTCCTGGTTCCTATAGTCCCCTGTGCTCTGACCAAGCCTTTAAATAAGGTTAGCATCCACCAACTCTTACAACTCTAAGAAGCTCCCCAATGGTGGTCATCACACCCACTGCTCCTCTAGGTCCCATCCAGCCCCCAGCCCACCCCTGAGCCCCACCCTCTGGACCTAGCCATGTAGCCTTACTGTATCTTCCACATTTTGGAAAATCTCCTTGGCCTCCTCAAAGTCACAGATCTCCTCCACACACTCCCGTTCCAGGTTGCCCGGCCGCATCTCCTCCAGGAAAGTGTTGGCACGTTTGGCCCGCAGCACCTGATGGGCACGCTCACTGCTGGAGAACACTGGGTCTGCTTTGGGATGGGAGTCAATGTGGTGGAGGGACCCAAGAGAAGCCAGGGGGGATCTGAAGAACCCCAGCTAGAGCCTGGGAAGACCTCAAGACCTCGCCTTATTATTATTATTATTATTATTACTATTACTATTATTATTATTCAGAGCATCCCAGGAAGGATGCTGTGCCCTGCTCTACTGCTCCGTTCCCAGATCCCCGCGGGAGAACAGCAGCATGGCCCTTCTGACACAGACAGACCTTGCTTTGAAGGCACACTCAACAGCGTGTGCTGTGCAGAGTGGAGTGCATAGGGTCAACGCCAGACCTTGCCACCTTTAAAACTGCAGGTATGTGGGCTTGAGAAACAGCCTGACATAATGCTGTCCAATAATAAATAAATGAGAATAGTAAAGACTAAGACTGCAAAGTGAAATCCGTCTCACACGTCTCCCAGCGTAGCTGAGTGAGCCCAGCTGGCCTCACCCTTGATTTCCCACACCCTCCCATCTCTTCCCCTTGAGCAGGGGCACCTGGAGAACAGAGACCTGTTAGTCTGCTCTGAGAGATGCCCATCTTGGGTAGGACAAGAGCTAAGAGGGAGGGACTGGATCAGAAGCATGCAGTAGGGGCTTGGGCAATGAGTGTAGAGGAAGACGTGGCCACCTGAGCTGAGGTAGCAGAGGAGGGAGAGAGCTGGGATGGGCAGGGCAGCCTAGAAAAGGACTTGGTAAACAGAACACTCAGGGAAGGACCCAAGTTCAGGAGACAGCCGGTTCATTTACGCTGGCGTCACAGGAAACCAGTGGAGGTCCTGAGGGTTTTTTGCACAGGGGTGGAGACCGTCTTACCAAGAGGTGTGCTAGAAATTCCCCAGGCGGCCAGGAACAGCAGGAAGATTCTGACTTGCCACATCCTGGAGCTGCTGACACCTGTCTGAGGAGAACCTCTAAGCTCCAAGGACATCCACAGTTGTTCTGCCCTCAACCCCCGAAAGTGGAATGAAAGGGTCGTCCCTGAGCAGGGGAGACATTTTACTCCCTAAAGCACTTGTTGTAGAAACATGAAGACTTGAATCTGATCCCCAGAACACATGTAAAACTAAAACAAAAATCTAGGTGCCGTGGCATGTTCTTGCAATCCCAGTACTGGGGAGGCAGAGGCAGCAGAGCCCTGCAGATGGCTGGCCGGCAGCCAGGATTGTTAGCTTGCCTGTCCAGCTCCAGTTGACCAGCTCCTGGCCAGTAGGAGGCCCTGTCTCAAAACAAGGTGAATAGGTCCTGAAGAAAATATCTGAGATCTGTCTCTTGCCTCCCCTTGTGTGTGTGCGCATGCACAAGAATGAAAGAAAAAGTAAGAAAGGGAGGGAGAGAGGGAAGGACACCTCTGTGTGCTCATTGTCTCTGTGGCGGCTGGGGCTGGGAGTAGGTTACACTGTTCACAGACAAACAGTCATTTGGCCTTTAGAGCTGGACACACACCAGCTACCTGAAAACAGAGAAGTCACTGCCTGGGGGCAAATTCCAGTGCGTGGGGCAGGGCAGGAGAGAGAGAGAAAGAGAGAGAGAGAGAGAGAGAGAGAGAGAGAGAGAGAAAGAGAGAGAGAGAGAGAGAAGTATTTGACAAGATGTTTACATGTTCCATGCCTTAAGTGTAAAATGGATAGTGTTGCTGGAATAGGGACCCACAGAAGGCCCCTGTGTGCGCATAGGCGTGTGCAGTGTGGAGACCAGGAGGCCCCCGTGTGTGCACAGGCGTGTGCAGTGTGGAGACCAGGAGGCCCCCGTGTGTGCACAGGCGTGTGCAGTGTGGAGACCAGCAGGCCCCTGTGTGTGCACAGGCGTGTGCAGTGTGGAGACCAGCAGGCCCCCGTGTGTGCACAGGCGTGTGCAGTGTGGAGACCAGCAGGCCCCCGTGTGTGCACAGCCATGTGCAGTGTAGAGACCAGGAGGCCCCCGTGTGTGCATAGGCGTGTGCAGTGTGGAGACCAGGAGGCCCCCGTGTGTGCACAGGCATGTGCAGTGTAGAGACCAGGAGGCCCCCGTGTGTGCACAGGCGTGTGCAGTGTGGAGACCAGCAGGGACCTTGGCTGTCCTTACCCAGGCATTGCCCACTTTTTCTCCCCAAGTTTTTGTGTGTTTCTTTTCTGAGGCAGTCATGATTGTTCCGGAACTTGCTATGTAGACCAGGCTGGCGTTGAACTCATAGAGATCTGCCTGCTTCTGCCTCCCAAGTGTTGAAACTAAAGGGTGCACCACCCTGCCTGCTTTCCACCTTGTTGTTCGAGACAAGCTCTCACAGCCTGGAACTCATCAAGCAGGCTGGTTAGCCAGCAAGCCCAAGCAAGGGATCTGCTGGTTTCTGCTCTCTAGCAGTAGGAGTTTAAGTGTGTGCCACCACACATGACTTTTTTGTTTTTAAAGAAAACATGTGTTCTAGGACAATAACTGAGGTCCTCACCTTTTTAAGGTAAGCACTGTTTCAACTGAGCCATCTTCCCAGCTTCCCCACCTCTCCTCCAAGCTGCTAAAGAAGTATTGGATACTGGATGGGGGTTGCAGCTCAGTAGGAGAGAACACACTTAGCATGTTTAAGACTCTGGGTTCAATCCTCCAACACTAGAACACACCACACACACCACACATACACATACACACACCACATACACTCCACACACACCACACACATACCACACACACCACACACACATACATACTACATACACCACACACACACCACCACACTCCACACACACCACACACATACCACACACACCACACACACACCACACACACACCACCACACACACCACACACATACCACACACACACCACACACACCACATATACATACTACATATATCACACACACTATACACACACCACACAACACACCACACACTCCACACACACACCACACACACACCACACACACACCACACACACCACATATACATACTACATATACCACACACACTATACACACACCACACACTCACACACACCACACACACCACACAGTCTCCACACACACCACACACACACACACTACACACATACCATACACACACCACACACACACACACAGTATACACATACCATACATACACCACACACACATCACACATACCACACACACACCACAGTCTCCACTCACTGTCACTGGCTCGGTCGAGGTTTACAACCACCCAATAGGTGAGCATTAATGTTTCTAGCCCCATTTCACGGGAAGGAACCGAGAAGCACAGAGGAGATGAGTGGCTTATCTACACCTAAGAGGAGGGCAGAGTTTGGTTTTAAGGACAAGCCTATGTGGTCCTAGCTCTGGAACCTTAACCTGTGCTCCAAACCAATAGTCACCCTTCAAGGCCTCTACTGTCCCCAAGACCAGGTGGGCAGGCCCTCCCGGCCTTCCATTCCTCCTTCACTGACTTCCTGGTTTATAGGTTCCATCTTAGAGAACAGGGTGCCGTGAGGTGGTGGGGGCTCTGGATATTGAGAGGCCTCTGAGGATGGCTCTGGGTCATGGAGGTCCCCTGGACTGAGCCCCACTTGATCTGCGTAATCGGATGTGTCCTGAGGGCCAATTGAATTATAGGGAATGCCAATCCATACTTTGGTCTAGAGAGAGTCTGGGCCCTGTTTCCCTTGGCCCCAAGCTTCAGTCAACCTGGAGATCCTTGGCTCAAGGTTTCCCCCTTCCTCACAGCCTGACTCTCTTCCCCATCCAGTCCTCCACAGCCTTGAGGTCTTGCCTTGAGAGGGACTTACCGGGGTGGGCCAAGGAGAAACTGCAATTTCGTCCTGGTGCCGCCATGTCAGTCTGGGAGTTGGGTTAATCCATAACCACAAATATTTGCTTTAGCCCTCAGTGTTGAACCTCCCTCTCCCCTGACAAACAAACAAAAAGGTTTTCTGTTCCCGGCTCTGTAAGGCTTCATATGTTCAATGCTCACCTTTGCCTACCAAAGAAAGAAGAGAGGGATGAGGGAAGGAAGGGTTGAGCATGTTTGAGCAGACTGGCAAACATGGTCTCATTTTAGCCTCACAGTGACTGGCTGAGAGCGGAATGGGAACCTTTACAAATAAACAAACATATTATAGCTTGTTTATGGGGAGGACACTCGAAAGTATTTCCATGTTTCATCAAACCCAGGATGCCATAAGAGAAAAAACCGTCTTACTGTCCCCTCCATTCTACGGGAGAGAACTCTCAGAAGTCTTCATTACTTGTCCAAATAGAAGGAGTTGGCTGGAGGCAGGCCTGGGCTAGAACAAGGCTTCCGGTTCACCTGGCCACTTTGTGAGCTAGTGAGAAAAAGGGAGGGTGACTCAGGAAAACTGCAGGGTGCTGCCAGCTAAGATGTCTTGGAACGAGAGAAGCAGACATAGCCCTAGCTATGTTCTGCAAACTGTCAGCATTTCCCAAGCACCTTCCTTCCTTGAGACTGGCTCTACCAGGAAACCTGCCATCTTTTCCTTGCCCTAAGGCTCTTGACGATTTTACCCTGCTCCTCCACAAAGTCTTTGTTCTGAACTGGGAGCTTGGCTCCAAGTGGTCCATCTGTCTTGGCACAGGGGGAAGTTGTTTGACCCAGAGAGCCAATCAGATTTTCTGTCTCAGTCCCGAGGAATATGATCTTAGTGAGCTGATGGGGTGTTGGGCTGGAGTCAGAAATTTGAGGAAAGGGAGGGCTGGTGACATGTTTGCCCAAGTTTTCCCCACTGGAGGTGAGGTGGGAGGCAGCAGGGAAGTTCTGGGATGGGTGAAGCAGAGGCGAGATGGACTGTGAGGTACTTAGAAATAAACTTACAGGAAGTGTAGAGGCAGTGGCTGTTTGGGAGCGGCTGTGGCGGCTGCCTAGAGGAGAACCGAGCTCCTGGTCAGTCAGCCATTAAAGACCAAATGCAGGGTCTGCTTGTGCACCCCGGAGAACTTTTTGTTTTGTCTCTATGCGGCAGTTCTACCCAGCTTTCCAGGAACTTGTGAAATAAACGCTTGTTGCAGGTGCTATTGCTCCAGGGGTGGCTGCCGCCCCACAAGCATGCGGCCGACCAGGCACAAGTGTTGCAGCTGCCCCGTGTCAGTGGCTTCCCTCTGCTTCCACTACTTCCGACAGCACTCACAAGGTCGGTTTCATTGCAAGACTAGCAGGGTGCACACACTAACCCCAACCTGCGTGCTGGACTCTGCCCAAGGTGGCAAAGTCCAAACCCAGAGGCTTCTGAGTCGTGATACTGATGAGCCCATGGCCTGGGAGTCATGTAGGCCAGGCAGACTGCTTGCAGGAGATCCTTGCACTTCCTCAGCGGAGCGCCTCATGACTTCAAACTTCCTGGGGGCCTGGAGCTCTGTGTCACCAGCCGCTAGTCGTTCAAGAGCTTTGAGCCCCTTTGCAGGTTTCTGGTGGGGGGACACTTCACCACCCCACCGCCGCCACTACACTGCACCAGGTCGAGGTCCTGGGTGGAGTGACCCTCGGATCCACTTTGATGGGAGTGTCTCTCTCAAGTGCACCCCAATTAAACCAAGCAAATATCCCAGCAGGACTTTGGTGGTAACAAAGCACTTGTGATTTCCAGAGCACAGCCTTGCACCCACTTTACGGAAGAAAGACATCCTAAAGGGAAAAGAAAAAGGGAAAATTTGGAAGGCAGTGAGCGATGAGGTGGTCTGAAAGCTTGGGATCAGAATCCCAGTGTCGAAGCTCAGTATGACTCCTTACTGACTGGACTACTTACCTTCTCCTGAGCCTCGGCTATACATCTGTAACATCCAGTGAATAAGATGTCCATTTCAGCTGGAATATTTACATTTTTTAAAAAAAGATCTATTTATTATGTATACAGTGTTCTGTCTGCATGTATGTCTGCAGGCCAGAAGAGGGCACCAGATCTCATTGCAGATGGTTGTGAGCCACCACGAGGTTGCCAAGAATTGAACTCAGGACCTCGGGATGAACAGCCAGTGTTCTTAACCGCTGAGCCATCTCTCCAGCCCCTATTTACATTTTCTTTAAAAGTCTTAATAGTGTTTGTATGTGCGTGTATGTGTTCATGTGTGCACGCATGTATGCATACAAGTATGCGTTCATGTATGTGTGTGTACATGTGTGTGTGTCTATGTGTGTGTCTGTGTTTATGTGTGTCTGTGTGTTTGTGGAAGTCAGAGGACAGCTTAGAGAGTTGATTCCCTCATTCTGCATTCCATTACATGGGCGCCAAGGGTTGAACCAAGATCTTGAGGCTTCCCAGCAAGTGTCTGTGAGAACAGACTCATTGTGCCATCCCTAAAAGTTTTAAAAACACCTAAAAGTTTTAAGTAAATGTTTTCTGCAAAGTAAACAGGGCCTTTGACTCAGATGATCACTGGACAATTCTCTCAAGGACATCTGTGGATATAAAAGCCAAGCAACTCTCCTGGGTGTAGGCAGAAAGGAAGCTGAGTCAGCATGGACTCCTGCCCATCCGGGTTTCTTGAGCCCTGCTCACAACAGCCCAGATGTGAAGCCAACCATGTGTCCATCAACATGGGGGTGCATAAAAAATGTGACACACATACATACACGCTGTGGAGTTTTTCTTAGCCTTAAGAGGAGTGAAATTATGTCACGCTCATGAAAATGGATACAGTCGGAGAGCATTATACTGAGTGAAATAAGCCGATTTGGAAGACAAAGATCACATACTTTTTCTTATATAAATAATCGTGTACATACACATATACACATATGTGTGTGACATGAAAGTCACATATATATGCGTGTATATGACATGAGGCTAGAAAGGAGACAATGGGGAGGGAGGGGTTTAGAGGCAGGAGGGGGGAAGAGCAAGAGACAGTAATGGAGAGAAGACAGACAAATATGCAGTATATGATACAAAGGTAGATAATATATATCTATCAACGATAGATGGATAATATCAAAGTGGAACGGGGACTCTGAGTGAGGAAGAAGGGAGTAGGACCAGGCAGAAGGAGTAAGGAAGGGTGCAAGGGCACATATGATCAAACAATGACATATATGTATGAAAATATCATAATGTTGCGTGTTCACTAAAAACATTAAAAACCACTTTTTATAAAAGACAGCTGCCGGCTGTCTGGAGTGGAGGTCAGGGGCAAGGTGAAGGACAGCTGTCTCGTGTCCCACCTTCGCAGCTCCCAACTTCAAGTCGCCTCAGGCATGTGAAGGGGTCTGTGGTTTGTTTGGTTTTATGTTTTCTTTTTTTCTTCTTTCTTTTTTTTTCAAACAGGGTTTCACTGCACAGCTTAGGCTGGTCTCAGCCCGTGACAATCCTCATGGCACAGCCTGCTAAGTGCTGGGATGACAGGCGCGTCCTGTCTTGTCAGAGTGCAGTCTGTTCTCACACCCCGGGTCACTCTCACTCGGCTGGTCGGCATTAGAATCCTGCCTTTGCAGGGTTGGCAGAGTGGTCTGTGGAGGGAGGGCCACTGGCCCACTGAGTGTCCCTTACCCCAACCCCAAGTTCTTGGTCAGTCCGTGTCTGCTCTCCTGAATGCATTATCCCTGGCTCTGTTGTGGAGAAGGCAGGGCAGGCCGGAAACTAGACAGAGTCCAGTTAACAACTGGCAGTGGTGGCTGGAGGTGCGGTTCAGATGATAGAGTGCCTGTCCTAGCGTGCAAAAAGCCCTCTCTGGGGTCTGAGCCCAAACTGCATAAACCAGGAATGATGGTGCACAGCACACCTGTAATCCCGGCACTCAGGTTATAGAGGCAAAAGGATCAAAAATGAAAGTTTGTACTTGGCTACTAGTAAGTTTGGGGACAGTTTGACCTATATGAGACCCTGAGACACTGCCACAAACAGCAAAGAAGGGGTGGTCAATGGAGCCAATCCCAGGGGCATTAAAAACTTTTTCTAAAAAAAGTCAGATTCGTTGAAGCAAACTTATAAGCAATAAAATCACCCCTTTAAAACATTCATTTTCCTTTGTTTTATATGTATTTTTGAATTATCTGATTGCGTGTATGTCTATGTGAGCTAATATGCCAGTGATGGTAGGTGCCTAAGAATTCCAGAAAAGGGTGTCAGATCCCTTCGAGCTAGAGTTATAGGCAGTCTTAAGCTTCCCGCGAGTGCTGGAAGCTGAACTCGGGTCCTCTGCAAGAGCAGTCTTAACTGGTGTCCCTCTCTCCAGCCCCAACCTCAGCCATTTGAATGCAATGTTCAGTCGGTTTTGATGAAGGCCGTAGCTGAACCAAGTCTACAGTTAGGGTATTGCACGTTTCTGTCATTCTCAGTTCTTTGGGCCATTCCCTGCTTCCGGCCACCACCAATCTGATTTCTACCCCTGTGGTTTCTGGCCTAAGTGGACTTCTCAGGAGACATTATTTCCACTGGCTTCCTTCTCTCATACCAGTCCCTCTATTTTGTTACTGAGCTGCCCCATCGCATGAATACAGCACAGTGGGTTATTCATTCGCTAAGTTGTTGACTCCTATTAAATACAGATTCCGGAACACTCGTGTGTAGGTGTTTGTGTGAGTACACATTTTCATTTCTCTTAGGTAAATATCTAGGAAAGGGTTTGATGAATCATGCAGTGATTTCATGCTTATGTTCACACCATTATCTAAAGTTCAGATGGCTACACAAAAATATGCATGCTTCAGCGGTACACGGCTGTATCGCAACCATTGGTTAATCAAAGAATCTGCTTTGGCCTATAGTAGTGGAAAAGATATAGCAAGAGTATAGGTAGTCAATGGGAAGCCATCTAACCGCCCCAGGAGACAGACGCCAGACATGGCACAGAACTTTACCTGGTAAGCCACAGCCACGTGGCGACACACAGATTAATGGAAATGGGTTAAG